ATTAGAATTAGACTTATATGTTCTTATTATAATATACTCTATATAACATATATACTCTAAAAAGTTATAAGAAATAAATAGATTATTAAGATAAATATAATATAATACTTTAAATAATTTTTATATTAAATATAAAACTATTACTTATATAAAATTTATATATTTTTTATTTTTTATTAACTCTAAAAAAGAAGGTATAATTATACTTATAAAATCATTCTTTTTATTAATCTTATATCAATTTTATATTATAAAAAAACTTCGATCTATTATTATTTATATTTTAAATCCTATAAATATAGGTTTATTTTTAATAATAATAATAAAGCTTAATTAATTAAAATATTAAGCTATATTTTTATCAACTAATATTCAATCTTAAAGTATTTATATTAAGAGATTAATACTCTAAATATAATTTAATAATTAATCTACCTATAAATAAGTATATTAATATATAAAATTCGAATTAATAAAATAATATCTTATTTTTTTATAAATATTTTTTTTTCAAAAGATTTAATAAAATATCTTATATAAAGCTTTTCAAACTTATTTCTTAATATAAAATATATAAAAGAGTATATATTAGTATTTTTTATTATATTCCTAATAGATTTCAAATTTAAATTCAATATAAACCAATATATATATATATATATTTAAATATAAATAAATCTTGTTTATTATTATAGAATATTATCAAAATACCTACAAATTTAAAAGTTCTTTATCTTTTAATATTCGTATATATAAATTTATTTATTTTATTGTTAATTCTATTATTTTAATAGGAAAATAAATATAAAATAGATTGAATATATTATATTCTTAAGTATTAATTTATAGAATAAGTTTTCAATTGAAATCAATATAATTTATAGATTTAAAAGAATTCTTTATTTTCAAAATAAAAGGAATATTTGAATATAATATCCCTACATTTATGAAATTAAATTTTATATTAATTAAAGTTATATTAATAGAATTATTATATATTGTATATTTGTTGATTTCCTTATTATCAATATTATTTACGAAAATATTAATGGTCTTGTTCGGTGCACGGACCACCCAGGCGTCATATAATAATGGTCTAGGGGATAATAAGATTAGAATTTATTTACTTAGTTTCATATTTACTTACATACACATATACCAACCTAGGTACTTACTTATATTATCTCAACTCGATTCAACTCGATTCCTATAATAATAAAAAACGAAACATCTTAAATATACATACATATCGAGCATATCGATTATAATTCAACAACTTACATAAACTCTAGAGTGTAAGCGGTATATACTAGAATTCATACATATTAGAATATAATCTATTTATTATTCAATCTCGAGAGATAATTCTCATATGATTGTGATTATTATATCAATAGATTCATAGGAATGATATAAAGAGAGGAGAAGTAGATGAGAAGAGGAAAGGGGAGGACAGAAGTACTTCATCCTAAGATTGACTTCTATGAAACTTAATCAGGTTTTAAGGAATGTGATTGTATATATATACATAGATTCATCCAATCATCCTCCATCCACTCAAGTCCAAGAACCCCCTCAAAATTCTAATTCCAAATCTAAATCTGAAGCAAAATATAAAAGGAGGTATATATTTTATTGACATATATATCTATTATTCCACCAATATATATCTTTGTATCTTTATCTGATGATTTATTTACTTAGTCGTTCATTTGTGTATTCTATCTTTACAATGCATTTTCTTCTTTCTCTTCTTCCTCTTGCAGATCTCTCAATCTGCCAGACATCCGTCCATTCTACGACTACCAACTCGACATCTCAGGAGAGTTTTCGCACTTTCCTTTTTCCGATTTTCCATCTCCCAATCTTTATTGTTCAATTCTCATCCTCCCTCCCTCCCTCCTATGCTTCCTCCCTCCCCCTCTTCGCCCCTCTCCCCATATACCTAATAATCAAAACACAAAAAAACAAACGCCACATATGCATACACACACGCAGTTAAATGCCTTTCAAATCATCACATCATCCATCACTATCATACAAAAAAGCACCCAGCTTACATATATCGAGAAGAGATCCTATTCTCCAGCCGATACATACGATAATTTTGTTCCTTTTTCTCCTCCTCTACTCGCTTACTCTTTTACCAACTGCCCAGTTTCCATCCATGAATTCGATCTTGAATATCATCCCAACTGAAATTTTTGTATACTCTTCCTTCTTCTTCACCTTCCTGTAAAACCACGGTTGGACTACCACTTCCCTCTCCTGCATTTTTCACCAGACCTCCAAAGACTTGTATAGCTACTCTTCTAAGATCTTTGACGGTTAATTCTTCGATTTTCTTGCACATTTCTCTGACTCCAACCTTTCTTCCGTGTACTTGTACTTGTCTTCCCAAATCTTCTAATTCTACCATCCTCGATTCCAAGTTCATCAATAAACTTGATCTTAGCTGATTCTTCGCACGATTAACTTCTGCCGTCTGTAATGAGCTGAATCCAGAATCGAGAGTGAGACTTTGAAGTTCACGGCACATGACATCAAGCATATTCTTGACGTAGCCTGGGGAACATGAGGATGAGATTCCAAAAAGCCCAGAATCGGTGTACGAGTGGTTGAAAGCCATGCATGATTCGACCCAGCCGTGTTGGTTTAAAACGTTGGTATAAAGACGAGAATACATGCCTTTGCCAGGACCACCAGCAGAGAAGGATCCACCACCGCCAAGAAGAGTTTGAAGGGTAGCGAGGGCGTAAATGTCGGGGGAAGAAATGGGAAGAGCTTCGAATGCGATATGAATATGGCTTAGTGCGGGAAGGGCAGGATTCACTGGTGGTGGCAGAGTTGGGAGGGCAAGAAATCCACCTGTGTAGCGTGAAGGTTCGTTGAGGTTAAGGGGATTCAGGAAACCATTCTGAACAGAGGCACTTTTTGGTGCGGAAGTGGAGATGTTCTTGAAAAATGGCATGCGTGATATTAAGGTGGATGGCTTTTGTGTTGGTGAAGGTGGTGTTGATGAGGAAGATGATGATATAGAGCTGTCGCTGCTAGTTTCACCTGATACTGAATCAAGAGACGTTTCCGATCCTGTTTGTGATAAAATGGGAGCTGATTTTGGCATATCTCCAAAATGTTGTTCGGCAAGTTTTACTGCTTCTTCATGTTGTACCCCCGCAAATGCTACGACCATTCTTTCAGGTCTATAGAAAGTATCTCGGTATAGTTGTATGGTATTGCTGTTGATCTCGGAAAGTCGTTCTTTCGGACATAACAGAGGATTTCCAAGAGTGTTTCCCTTGTATGCAACCATGTGTACGATTTCCGGAAGAATTAACTCTGGCTTTGACCAAATCTCGCCAATCTCATATTCAGCGGTCACCAATTGTTGGGAAACCTCCTCCTCAGTGATTAAAGGATTTCGAATTGTCTCGGCGAGAAGAGCGACAGTAGTTGGGACCGCAGAGTTGAATGTGGCAGATTGATACATCAAAGATTCTCTTGATGAAGCGCATTGTATATTGCCTCCTAGTGACTCGATTGATTCTAACATCTCATCGCCTGATCTCTTTGACGTCGACTTGAATGCCAATCTATCCATTATATGACTAACCCCTCTGAGATCTTCATTTTCGTATCTGGACCCTGCATCGATGTATACTCCAATGGCGGAAAAGTGACCGGGTAAAGCTTCCGTTGCGACACGAACTCCATTGGGAAGGGTAGTGATTTGATCTAATTCAGCAGGATCCTGTAAGTGTCTAGTGTTAGTCGAGGTGAAGAGTATTAGAAGTTTGGACATCATTTGTACCTTTTGTATAGGTTCCACTACAGTAGCCAAACTTCTTGAACGGAAAGCAGGTAAAGCATTGGATATAGGTCTTTGAGATGAAAGAGCCCTCCTCAAAACCCTCGTTGAAGGATTTCTGAGCATAATGAGTATTACTGGTTGTAATTGCAGTAAGTTGAAGATAGAAATTGACTTCGTCGTCGCGAAAGTTCCGTCGCAGTTACATCAATCATGACTGCTTAGTACTCCGTACGCAATTCTCCCCCAAAAAAACTTGAGTTCGGTATTTACCGGTTGATGGCGGGGGGGCGTTCTTTTTGATTGATGGATGGGGATTACGTGATCAGCATCAGCGATAGTGGCTCGAGTGGGGTGAGTTGGGTGAGTGAGTGGGTGAGTTGATAGCAAAATCGAAGCCGAGGCAGCCTCAGACCATTTTGCAGCTGTTTACGGGTACGGGCTAGGGCTAGTAGTGCAGAAACTGTGCCGTATTCAGACATTGTTCACGTGCCACATCTCTCCCGCTTTTTTATTTTCTCTTCCCAGAGGCGTTGAATCAGCGACTAGACTGGGATGGACGACTATCAGGCGAGCCAGGATTGATCAGAGCCGTGCAATTTAACGGTCAAAGCATTTTTTAATCTTTTTATTGCGGTTATCAATATTGGGAGAGGAAGTGAGGTTGGAGTGAAGTTATCTAAGTGAGGGAGGTTAAGTTACGTGGTTGAAGTTTGCAAGACAGGTGTGAAAATGTAGAAGTATTGATGGGCTATATTGAGAAGAGTTTTACATCTCATTGTTGATTCTATTGTTGATTCCACCTATATACACACCTATATACATGACCACCTACCTAGGCTTGTCATCTATCGTGGCAATACCATGGATGACGGTGAAAAGGAACGTCGTTGCCAAATGCAGCCCTGCTTCCGGCCATTTTTTATATTGCACTCGTGCCACTCTGACTGATCGCGTATCTCTCCGAATGAATGATGATTTGATATCCATGGCCTGATAGACATCGACCGAGATTATTGACCATTGATATGGCCATGTCCAAGTGAGGATCTATGTGTAAATGTAGGAAGCTTGTGTGTTATATACTCTATGTATATATGTGCGTATGTAAACATATGTTTGTTGATATGATTATATGTTTATTTGTTTATATATACCTGTACTAGTTATATATATGTGAATGTTACTTATTACTGTATAATCATCATTATCATCACTTATCAACATCTCGTGCGACTACTATTACTCTATATTCTGGAAATTATTCATTCTAGAAATACGATATCCTCACGCATAGGTACCGTTACCCACCTAGATGCAAATGCAATACTACCATCACCACATACAACAAGTCTCTACCACTCTCAGATCCTCCCTAACAACCACCATACAACCAAAATCAAGATCAAGATATTGTCCACAGTCTATTCGCATTCTTATTTTTGTTAGAGTTTCTGACAAAAGATATTAACATCCATACATCCATACACACACACACACACACACACATATATATATATCTCTCTACATACACATACCTATTCAGTGCATATACATACATAAGATCTTACACTCTAATTCATACATACATATTCACATATTTCAACGTCAACACACCGCATATCCATTCGAATTCTGTGTTTCTCTTCTCTTCTTTTCATCCTCGATTTATTTACCCCAGAGACTATACGGCACTGATACTACTGTCTGATACCTGCTTGTACTATACTACTGCTGCTGCTACTCCTCCTCCTACAATCTACCCTTCCTCGTATCCTACCACACTTTCAATCTAGATGTCAGGTTAACGCACAGCACCACAAGCCACTTTGACTTCTCTTGCCCCCGAAACCTATCAAGAACAAAATTGGAATCCCCATCCAAGCCAATCAATCCATCAAGATTCAAACCTCAACAACACTTTGACTACCATATAGTGTAGTGATAGTACGGGATTACCAGGCACGGCACATACCTTACATACCGTACATATTGCACACACTATCTCAAGACCATACATCTTACCTACCTACCTACCTACCTACCTACCTACTATCTATCCATACATAATCTCTTTTACTAGTTAATTTGTTCAAGGGTTTATTTTTTTCTTTTCTTTTATCATCACTTGTCTTGAATTCGATTCATCCTTTGTTAAATTCAAATTCAAATCCAAATCCAAATCAAGTACAACAAATACATATATCAATTCTCATTCTTTATAATTTTGTTATTTATCTTTCAACCATCCTTCACATCCATCCACCTCTCTCTCCCCTTCAAGAACAATCAAAAGTCGAGGATTAACTTAGTCCTCGTTCTTCATATTCTCTCTCTCCATGTATTCATCGCTCCCGAGTTCGCCCTGGAACCCAACCACTTCCATATCATCATCACCCATGGTACGAGAAAGAAGTGCACCACAATCAGTCTCACCAATCTCCCCACAACCAACTACAACCCCAACATCTCCCACATCATCATCATCAACCAGAGGTCGTCTCAGAGGTTTAAGTTATTTGCGAAGTTACACACAAAATCACTTACTATCGAGGGAACATCATAATCAAAATTCTTCAAATTCAAATAGTAATAATCACCAAAATTCACGACCCACACTCTCGCACACCTCAAGTTATCCTACACCTTCAACTCCCTCTCACGCCTCTTCTGCAGCCTCGCCTGCAACTCCTGCAACCGAAATTCTTCCTCGACAAATTTCACCCACTGCACGAAGATCCACCAATCCCCCCGAAGTAACATCTGCAGGTGCGAATAATCCAGAAAATCTGGGATCGACAAGTGGGTGGTTACCGACAGTAGGAGGTCACAGCGGAGTATCGAGAATTGCAACTCAGCCACAACCTACTGCGACTGCCTCCTCTTCAGCCGTCTTATCGGCCAACGATTCGTCTGCGATAACCTCTGGTCTCGAGGCGTCGATGGCAAGAACTAGATCTGCAGGAACAGGAGGGGCAGCAGATATGCCTTTGTTAAATGACTTGGGAGAAAACGGTTCTCAATCAACCAGAGAAACCATGTCACATCAATTACCATCGATTCGTTTCTCTCCGCATCAAGATCCTCGAGCTCATCGTCCATCTCTCGTATTTGGTACCATGAGTCGAACACTCCCGACAGGAAAGGAAATTATAAAAGTTGGTCGATATTCCGAAAGAGATAATCAACCCCCGCATGCTACGAATGTGCCATCGTTTGCACCCGTTGGATTCAAGTCAAAAGTGGTTAGCAGACGTCATTGTGAATTTTGGTGCACAGGAGGTCGTTGGTATATAAAGGATGTGAAAAGTTCATCGGGCACATTTCTCAATCATATACGATTAAGTTCACCTGGAACAGAATCAAAACCATTCCCAGTGAACGATGGTGATATAGTCCAATTAGGTATAGATTTCAAAGGTGGTGAGGAAATGATATTCAGATGCGTCAAAATACGAGTGGAACTCAACAAAGGATGGCAAACTGGTCCTAGCAGTTTCAAGTATGTCTTCTACTTTGATGGTGAATCCAGTTTGTTTGCTAATCTTTTATCCAGTGTGCAATCTCATAAGCGCTTACGCGAGCTCAACAACAATCTCAAGAAACAAGCCTCCGGTGCTTCGAGTAGTTCCTCGCAAGATTGCTCGATTTGTCTTGGACCCATAGCAGTAAGTCAAGAGGTCTTTTTCCTACCTGATAGCCCTAAACTAACATATGCAAGCCCTGCCAATCTTTATTTGTCGCGCCATGTTCTCACACATGGCATTACAAATGTATACGAGTTGTTATCAATGGTCCAGCTTGGCCTCATTTTATATGTCCAAATTGTCGTACAGTCGCAGATCTCGAGGCAGAGCTTGATGAACCAGATGGAGATTGGGAGGAATTAGCCACATCTGATGCGGAGGCTGAGGTGGAAGCAATATCAGAAGCCGCAACAAATACAAACAATCTCCATGGAACCGAGCCAGCAACCCAGGAAACGGTTATACCACAGTCGAGTGACCCCACAGGCGCTCCAATTCTACCAGAGCCGGAAAACCTTGAACCTTTGAATATGAATCATATTGAAGATGATCTCGACACAAGCGATGATTCTAGTACAGGTGCTCTCGCCCACGAAACTAGACTCGAAGATATAGCTTTTCTCAACGTCAGCGATTCACAAGCCAGTTCGGCTGCAGCCACACCGGTTCCTCAAACCAACTTGAGTTCTACAGTATCACCTCTCGACATCATTGCAAGAAAACCAGTCCCCAGTGCCACCTCTAACTCTCGTTCTGAGCGTGGTTCACCAAGTCCAAATGGGATGCATCCTGCATTAGCAGATCCTCTCACAGGTGAAGGACCAATGACACCCAGAAATGATGTAGGACCATTCATTTTCGATGGTGGTGCGGGGAGAACAAATACAATCAGACTAGCTACTAGATCTAGCAATCTAGATTATAATGAAACACCAACAACGGCTCACTCGACACCGCATTCTGCTCTTTAGTTTTATTCTCAAAGGAGACAATCAATACGAAATGATTTGGCCAGGGCAAAATTTCTGCATTTTAGCGAAGAAGGATTCTCTATGGGCGACCATATGATATGTCTAATGGTTTGATTCATCACTTTTGTACGGTTACGATAATGGATAATAAACGACAAATGATCTAGGTACATACTTTCGAAGGAACAACTGAGGGGAATAAGATATCAGTTTGCGTGTTAGGATGAATGGTGATAGGGCGTATATTTGGGGGAATTCAAAGTCACTTGAGAAATGGAGTGGGGTGGAGTTAATTGCTTCTTATATGAGCTGGTTGGTTGGGAATGTGTTATTGATAGAGGAGAAGTGGGTAGGGGTAGGAGGAAGCGAATGCGCTAAATACGTACGCACTTGCATTTATATTTATATATGCTGTTGGGAATACCTAGGAATAGGAAGAGCGAAACGGAGGGAATCAGAACCGAGTAAACTCGGAGCAGCTAGTATAGTAGCGAGAGTAGATATATCTCGCTTGGGGAGATGAGCGCATCGGGGATACCTAGGAATATGAATTGGGGTTTATGCTCTTTGATATTTGATGTTCGGTGTGATGTTTGGTGTGTGATATTTGATGTTACTTTATGCTTAAGATGCAGATTTAGATTCAGAGTATATCCGAATTGAATTGGATAATATTGAGTGATTACTTTCCTGTTAGTAAAATGAAAGATAGACCTATACTATTAGTAGATATCTATTATGAATATTGTTACTATGAATATTATTACTATAAATAAAACTGAAGTATATTTGAATAGAAAATAGTATAGTTTGTCTATAGAGGATACATGAATAGAAAGTATTCTATTCGATTTTAGTCTCTTGAATAGAATAAGAAAATTGAGAGAAAGTAGAAAAGGAATTGAGAAGAGAGGAATCACAAGGTTGTCCTGCTTGAGATTGGTTTAGATTTTTTAAACACTTTATATTCCTTTAAAAGAGAAGCTTAATTGTTGGTTCAAGTTTGAGTTCGAGAAGGATACAGAAGACGTAGCACCTATAATATTTGTAAATCCTAAATGTCTATCTTATATTCTGTTTAAAGAGCTAGCTAAGTATCGGAAGTTGTAGGTCTTATATAGATGCTACAAGAAGAGCTAGTCTTTTCTGCTTTTGCTTAAAGCTATTGTATTTTGTATTCGCTTACAACTGGAATATAGTAGTGAATGAATTAAAGCTATTTACTAGATCCTAATGATTAATTTTCATACGTTAATTGTCCAGGTTCTTTAATAGGGAATATATTAAATAAACTCTGAATCGTTTAGTAAGGATTTAATAAGTAAGTATATTCTGATTAATCTTAAATATATACTAGACTTTAATCTCTATTTGTAACATTAGAATTCTTCTTATTGTTTAAATCTAAATTTACTTGTATTTAATTTTCTGAGTATTAGATTTCCTTTTTGTGTATACTATATTTCTAGATTATTTTATATAAATTCCTTGATTTCTTTTATTATAGATTTTTTAGTAGTTATTCTGTTTAATCTAGGCTTTGTTTGATTTAGTAATTGTATTCCTATAGTATTGATATTTTGATTTATAATATATAGATGAGTAGGTGAGTAGGTGAGTAGGTGAATAGGTAAATAGGTAAATAGATGAATAAGTAAATAGATGAATAGATGAATAAGTAGATAGATAGATAGATGAATAGATAAATAAGAAAATAAGAAAATAAGAAAATAAGAAAATAAGAAAATAAGTAAATAAATGAATAGATGAATAAGTAGATAATTAGATAAGTAAATAGATAAATAGGCGAATAGATGAATAGGTAAATAGATGTCGGAACGTATGATCACGTGCTTAAGCGAATCACATGATTTTTCCCATTATATATATAATGAAAAGAATTATACCTTATTCTAAATCATTTCAATTTTATTATTCATTTTATATAGACTATATAATACTATATATAATAATTCGAATTAACAATTCCCCCCCTTAAATAATCTTAATACTAATTAATGTTTACCTTCTTATTAAAAGTATTTACGAATTAAATTACTTTCTAAGATTTTGTATAAAAGTATTTGTATAAAAATAAAAAGAATAGTTTAAACTATTTAATAAAATATTTTTTAAAAAGATAAATAAGATTATATTAATCTATATTTATATATAATTTATATAAAGGATTAGAATACTATATTCTTTACATTATTTTCTTTAATTAATATATTAAAAAGAAATCTTTGATTATAATTGGTTTCTTTAGGGTTGAATGGATTAATTGATTTATAAATTAGATTATTATATATATAAATTTTCAATAAATTCTATCCATAAATAAGAAAGTTAAAAATTCCATTTTTAGTTTAAAAAGTGATCTAAAAGAGAGGTGGCCCGAAAGTAGAGTACTCGACTTATAAGTTTAAAGCTTCGAGTCTATCTCGAGCTAATACTAGTATGTATATAAATATAAAATATGAAATCTTTATAATTTAAAAAGATTAATGAAAAGTCTTTATACTTTAATATACTAGTTGATTTATTACTATCATTTACTCTTATAAAATTAAGCTTTATCTTTACTTCCTTATATATATTAAAGACTTATTTTAATATATACTTAATTTAGTAATATTAAAACTAGATATTAAAGCTTTTAGAGTATAAAAGAATATAAATATAAAATTTAACATTATATTACTATTACGACGGTATCCAACATACCGCGTCATATGGCCAAATGGTCACGTGATGGACCTAGAGGATCTAGGGGATTGAAGAATAAATGTCTAGATTTATAAGATCTAAAGGATTCAAGTAGAACAGAGCCTTATAGTTTTGTAGAGAATGAAGGTTTATATAAGGAATAGAGTTTCTTTATATATAGAATTTTATGCTCAAAAATAATTATTAGTTTTATTATTATAATTATAAGAATTATAATCAATTACAATCTTATTAAATTCCTACTTAAAGTCTAAACTAAACTATTTCGAGAGAATTCTAAATACTTCCATGTAACCCTAGAGGCAGCTCCGTAACAATTACTATGTCTCCGAACTAATCTTTTAATTTATACTTATATCATCTTATTAAAACTACTTCTAGCGGCTATTAAGACTATATATAATAGTAAAAAGCATCTTCTTTTCTATTAGTAAAAAGAAATATATATTTCGTTGTTAATGTCGGAACGTATGATCACATGCTTAAGCGAATTACATAATTCTTTCTACTATATATATATTGAGAAGAATCATACCTTATTCTAGATCATCTCAATTTATATTATTCATTTTTATATAGACTATATAGTGCTGTATATGGTGATTCGAGTTGACGACTTTCCCCCCCAAGTGATCTCAACAGTTAACGTAGTTTATTAATGAGTCGACTATATTAGTAGATCGGCTACTTTTATTTCGAATTGTTATTTCAAAGTTATATTATTTAATAATAACTAAATCAATTAATTAAAATTATTAAAAATTTAATAATTTAGGATTTATTATATTATTTTAATAGATTCTTATATTATAATCTGTTTTTTTATATTTATTATAATATTAATTAAAAGATACTTTTTTATTAGAATTCCTTTTTTTATTAATATTTATTATATTAAATTTAAATATTAATCTTTTATTAAAATAATATATTAAAAGTCTTTTATTTAGTAAATACTTCTTTTTAATATAATTAGGTTTTTTTTGTATGTCGATATTTGCTTAATACTTTATTTACTATTTGAAATATATAATTCTTTATATTTAAAAGTATGTTTTTATAAGCTAATCTTTTTGTATTTTTAATTAAAGTTAATATAATCTCAAATATAGGTATAAGGGAGTTTACTTAATAATAAGTTATTCGAGATTTAATTAATATTAATTAAGAAAGAGCTTTAATTAGATTGTAAAAGGTTTAAAAGATTTATAATTTAAATTAAAAAAGGGGAAGGTAGGTATATAAATTTGAATATTTAATTTCAAAAGTATAACTTCAAGATTAAATAAGATTAAATTTATTCCTCAAAATTCTAATTTTATATTTTAAGAAATAATTGATTTTTTATATATAACTTTAAAAGCTATAAAGAATTCAATCTTTGAAATATAATTAATATATATTTTGATAAATTTATTAATTTGATTATTATATAAATATTTTAGATTACTAAAATAGTCAATATTAAATAATTAAATTAAATGATTTGAATATAATAATAAATATAAATATATAATATTATTCTCTTTATAGTATACTTGAAAAGCTATTAATTTATAACTTTCATATTTATTCAGCATTAATATTCGATATTTACCCTTTTTTCAATTTTTTAATATATTTATTGAAATATTTCAATTATTCTAAACCTATTTTATTATTTGTTTACCCATTAGATATAGGTTTAATAGTCTATTTCATAAAAAAAATCGATTTCGATATACTAATTAAAGAAATAAACCTATCCCTAAATTATTAAAAATAAGAGAATAGTTTTACTCTTTCTATTTCTATATATTATTACTATAGTTCATTTTTGATTATCTAATCATATAGATTTACTTTTATTATATTTTTTAGTATTAATAATAATTATTATTATATATATAATTCTCATTATAAAGCCTATTTCATTGAAATTATAAAAATCTTTATCCAAAATACTATATTTCATTCATATATTTACAATTAATTGAAACCATTTTTTAATAAGTTTAAAATCCTTATAAAAAACTTTTTGAAAGTTATAAATATAATTAAAACATATCTTTAATTCAATTTAATACTGTTACGGGAGCTGCCTCTAGGGTCACGTGGAAGTGTCTAGAGATCTCTCGAGGTGGTTTAGACTAGACTTCAAGTAGGAATTCAATAAGGTTGTAACTGGTTGCAATTCTCGTAACTATAGTAATGAAACTAATGATTGTTCTTGAGCACGAAGCTCTACATGTAAGGAAACCCTTTCCCTTATATAGACCTTCGTACTTTGATCGAATCGTCAAGTCTACTCGACTACTCGAGTCGACAAGTCGAATCGACTTTCCTTCACGTGACACTTGTCCTCGTGACCTGGTAAGGCTACCGCTTATTTAACCTGTGCTTACTAGCTAATCTGTAACCGTTGTGCAACCTGTGCCTACTGTGGGGTAGGTGCCAATAAAAGATAGGTACCTATCTTTTAATCACTGCTTATTTATTCGGTTACCGCTATCTTTAGTTACCCTTTAATTCAACTGTCCCTACAGTGCTGTTTTCGTAGGTCCCAACACCAAGGCCTTAGGTTTATCTTATAATCCATGTTGCGGTGCGGGTACCTCCGTAACAAATACTTTACAAATTAATATATTCAAAGTGTTACGACGACATCTAACATACCGAGTCACCTGATCAGAAAGTCACGGGATTAGAGATTCCCACTGGATCCCACTGCTCCCACCTGGTGGGACACGATGGGATCAATGGGACAACAAGGAACGAAGGTCTATATAAGGGAATGGGTTTCATTACAATGTAGAGCTTCGTGCTCAAGATCAATCATTAGTTTCATACTATAGTTACGAGAATTGCAACCAGTTACAACCTTATTGAATTCCTACTTGAAGTCTAGTCTAAACCACCTCGAGAGATCTCTAGACACTTCCACGTGACCCTAGAGGCAGCTCCCGTAACACTTTGAGCACCATTTC